GCAAGTCTCAAGTCAACTCTCAAGTCTCTATCTTCACGTTTCAAGTCCCAAGTCCTTGCAAACTACTTTCAAGACAGGTCTCAAGTCTAGCATCAAACTTTAACAGAAAGAAGGGAATGTATGTGGGTGTGTGGAGTTTCAACAACTAGAAAATCAAGAAGTCGTGCACAAAAAGTTAGGTTAAAAAAACTATGAGGGGAATAGCAAATGCATTAGGGAATAGGATTGAGACAGAAGGCTCCTTCTAAAACTTTGGAAAAGTTTGAGAAGTCTCCTCCAATGTGCAATAAATGTAGTGGAAAGAAAAAGGAGAAAAAGGGGGGAAAACTGCCCCATGTTTCTTTTAATTTAAAATTATTTTTGGAAATAATATTTTTATTATTTTAAAATTTTCTTCATAAACCACATCTTACCATATTTTCACTTTAACCACATGAAACACGTAACTACATTTAGGCTGTGCATATGATACTGCAGTTTAAAGGATTATTTTTAATTTTGCAGGTTGTTTAGGTCACAACTATTGCTATTACATTCAGTGATATACCGGAATTACGATTACGAGTAACATTAGTACAAAAAGCCTTAGTAAGGATTCTGTATAGTGTGGTATGGAAGGAAGTCAATGGGGTGGGGTGACTCCATGAGTTACTGCACTGGGTGATGCCCACGCAAGTGATGCCACCGAGGCCCGCAAGTTAGTTGCTAAAAATATACAAGTTGTGAGCTGATTCAAGTCAGTGCATCATTTATTGCAAGGTGAGTCTAAGTTGAATCATTGCAGTGACTTGAGTCCATTAATCAACCCAAATCTACATCACTGCCGCTTGCAATATGATCCGTGGAGGCAACAGAATTTGCAGAGTTTGCAAAACTCTCCTCTGGGTACACACAGCATTCTCTGTCTCTGGGCCAATGAGATTTGTGAGAACCATGCGACTTCCGCTTCAATACCAGACGTTCTCATTCTAATGACAGCCCACAGCAATAATTTCTTCCACCTTTGGAAGTGATAAGAATCAGAGCTTGGTTTAATCTTCCAGAGCCTTTTTTCCTCCTAGCAAAATTATTCCTCCTTCAGTGACAGAGGTGTCAACTGTGCCACCCTTTTGCGAAAAAGAATTAAAAGAGACCTTTGACAACTGGGTTTGAAATCAATGCCAAATTGATTCTGTTTTGGTGGGATGCCATCTTCCTTGGTGGAAAACAAAACCCATTAAAACTAGTGGGAGTAAACACCATGCAAACACAGAGAGGAGTGTCATACTAATAAAGGCTGCCCATGTCTATTTCCTGGCAATCCCTTAATTTAAAAAGAAATCTGACCTTCTCTTTCCAAGCCTGGGGTTGAAATTGAGCAACTCCAGATGTTGTAGTCCTAGTATTCCTCACCTTACGATGGTTACAGCTGCCAGGTGTTGCAGTCCAGCAACATCTGGGTGGCTTCATTTCCCCTGCCCTCCTTCGAAGCTCTACTTCGCTTGAAAACTTGGGAAAATCACCTTTTGAAGGACTGCATCTTCCTGAACTTCTCAGGGACCATGCTGGCTGGTGGATGCTGGGAGCTGTGGTTCAAAACAGTACCGTTCCCAAGGTTTGGTTCCATAGCATGCAATACTTCGCTCTTACCTATGTGTGCGCAGATGACAATTGCACCCAATAAAGAAATGAAGGAGGACGCCGTCTTCATGTTGGTTTCCCAGTTCTGTCCAGATGAGTAGCAAGTGCATCTTTGGAGTGCAGGTTATATACCCTTTAAATCCAGGATAAATGGCACGCTCTGGAATCTCTGGGTGTCACAAGGAAGAGGGTGTGGGCTGTTTTGAAGTACATACTTAATGTGGGAATCTGCACGGAAGGTGGAACAACCTACAAAAGGCAGGTCCCTCCTTTGGGAGAGGGAGGACGTGGTGATCAATGTTCACAGGACATACGTGGCTTTTGTGGTTTTGTCTGTGGATTTATTATTTCTAGGACCAACTTGGGGTTAAATGAGGAAACCTGCCCTTTAATCTTCATTGACACCCAAAACACAGGGCCTACATAGGGTTAAAAACAAACACACCCAAATTTATGGTATGCCCCATAACTCACTGAAACACATGAAAGGTGTACAATATGGTGCACACTCCTTTTTATGAAATTACCCCAAATACCATACAGATGTTACTAGTATAATAGCCCCAAACCCCTATATTGTATACTACAGTCAGCCCTCCCCATTTGTGGCTTTGAGTTTTGCAGATTTGATTATTCACGGATTTGATTAATAGGTTCTCTCTAGGAATCTCTAAGAGATGCAGTGCTTAGTGGTTAAGACACCAATTTTGAGAATCGGAAGGTCAGAAGGTTGGCTTTTCAAGACCTGGATGCTGCATAGATGGGGAGAGCTCCCATCACTAGTCCCAGCTTTTGCCAACCTAGCAGTCCGAAAGCATGCAAATGCA